ATATACTTGCCAGAGTAATATGTTTATGCTGTATGTTTTGAGATATGAGGGAACATTTATTCATAAGATATTTATGTAGTATACAGAATAAAAAGCATCAAATATCAGTATTGTTTTTTAATGAAGAAGCTTGTAATATTAATGAGGGAGTTTCAAAATTACAAATGAATCTAGGGAGGCCAAGGAACTATCTAAGGGAGACATATTGCTTATTTTCCTATGAAATCCAGGACTTGAACAAAAAGAAGGCCAATCTGTTAAGCAGTAAGGTGGAGTTTCTAGATTTAAATTGGGTTTAAGCCAGTAAATATTAACTGATATTGACACCTGGGCTTCTTCTATTCCAGGATTGCTTTCCATAGTGGTTGGTCTGCTGGCATAATTGTGTGTAAAATCACCTTTGCAAGGAAGATTCAGATAGCAGAGGGTAATCTGTTTTTTTCTCCATTGTTAGCTGTGGTTTCCCTTTTACACCTGATGCACGTGGAAGGCCCTACCCCCACATTCTCACACGACCATCAGAATTCTCTGCCCACCCAGTTTTAATTTTTTTCCTCATTTTGGGGAGCTGGATAGTGCTATATAGTCATAGCATAATACAATGACCTTATTAAAAACACCTCCACATATCTGCATAGATCCCCTCTCAATTTAAAAGGCAAGATGAGGTGTGGGTGATTCTCTTCTGTTATGCTAATTCCTGCAACTGCTACAAGAAAATAGACCAGAATAAAGTTTGAATACAGTGGCACCTTTAAGACCAACAAAGTTTTATTCAAGGACAAGAAGGAAGAAGAAGAAAGCAATCTGATGGCGAGTTAGGCTCGGTGTCTTCTGAGGAGGACTCTCTCTCTGAAAAGGGGGAGGCTGCCCCCAAAAGTTCATACAAATTGAGAAAAGTCCATACAAATTGAGGATGAGAAAAAATAAGGGAAAATAAAGGCTGAAGGACTCTGAATTGTGCCTGAAAACTCTGTAATAACTTTGGGATGCTTTGAGGGTTTCATTAAACAGATAAATGGATGGTTAAAAGATAAATAACCTAGCATAACTGACTATGTTCAATGTATTACCAGCATTTTAGATTAACATTGAGATAAGCTGATGTATTGATCTCCCATTAGTGGGTGTCTTTTCTTTCTCCCTAGATGTAGTTTCCCTTCCCTTATTTTCAGTTATAGTTTGTAGTCTTGTGAAAAAACCAATTAAAAATTCCCCTCAGGGAGATTAAAAAAAAAGTTTTATTCAAGGTATAAGCTTTCGTGTGCAAAGCACACTTCCTCAGATACAGTGAAATAGACTGCAATTCACAGAACTCCTGCAAATGCACTGTTTCTGAGTATTTTTGTTTTAAAAAAGCATTTGAAGTGTTGGGCAATAGCCAGGTAGTGTGTGTATAGATAAATTTCCTAGTAGTTATATGGCAGCAACAAAAGATGGAAAGCGAGGGGGGTATTTCCTTTCAATCAAACACAAGGTGTTCTCTCTCTCTCTCTCTCTCGCACACACACACACATACACACATGTCGATAGCATCCTGCTAGAGACTCACTTTTTAATAGGTTTAAAATAAAGTTGGCTTTCTGGCAAAAAAAGAATGGGCTGCTTTTTATATTAGCAGGAATATATTATCAGGAATGCAAGACAACATTATGTGAAAACCGGCCAGGTGACTGAAATGGGAAGAATCTTCCATGTGAAAGTCTCCTGTCAAAATGCATGCTTGCTCATTGATCCTCAGTTCCACAGTAGTGGCATTTTATGCATGAAAAATAGGGACAACTATATCAATTCTAAAGTCTAGCCACCAGAATATTTAATTAGTGAGTTTGCACCACTGGCTCCATGATAACAGAAAAGCCTTTCTGTTTAAGTGACTAATGCCCATTTTGTCCCCAACAGGCTTTGTCTGTGCCATGTAACAGCTTGGTATACGGATGAAATTCTATATCTGGTAGTGGCTGTTTCCAGCACAGCATAGAATTCAATGCTGATCCAAGCTGTAGCAGTAGTGTGGCTTCATAGGACAGACTGTGACTCAAGCTCAATGCAACGGGCCAACATCTGTCCCCTTCTGGGCGTTTAATTGCTGATAACGTAACAATGTTTGGAAAATCTCCAGATGCAAAACAGGACTCTTGATTTGCAATACTGACTTATGACATACCACCCACAAAACCAGATCAACACAAAACTACTGAAAATGGTAAAACATTCTAACCTGGAAAATAAAGCAAGTGAACAGAGAATGAAGCAAGTGAAGCTAAAGCCAAACAGGAAACTGCCAGAATAGACCAGACTAAGACTGGTATGTACCCAACAGGCTTCATTCGACTTGCTGATCCAAGCTGTAGCAGTAGTGTGGTTTCATAGGACAGACTCAAGCGCAATGCAACAGGCCAACATCTGTCCCCTCTGGGCGTTTAATTGCTGATAACATAACAATGTTTGGAAAATCTCCAGATGCAAAACAGGACTCTTGATTTGCAATACTGACTTATGACATACCACCCACAAAACCAGATCAACACAAAACTACTGAAAATGGTAAAACATTCTAACCTGGAAAATAAAGCAAGTGAACAGAGAATGAAGCAAGTGAAGCTAAAGCCAAACAGGAAACTGCCAGAATAGACCAGACTAAGACTGGTATGTACCCAACAGGCTTCATTCGACTGGACACTGGAAAGAGGGGGATGAAAACTTATTAGCTAGAATGTAGATCCACAAGGCAGCTGTACAAACATAGCCTCCCCAAGACAGCATGGGCCGTTTCACACATTATGCAGACAGTTGCTGCACCAAATCGCAGCTCCCTGATCATTATACTTCTATGATACTCATTTGATGCATTCACATTTTTAGTGTATCCTTAACTTATAATGTGTGAACTGGCTCAGACAGAATACTTGGGGGAGAGTTAACAGCAAAATCTATTGAACAGATACAAGAAGTTGGGTAGTCTCCAGGTATGACAGTGGCTGCAAGTCCATTTTTCAAAATGCTTACTTCTTGTGTGTTACCTGCAGCCTCGCGACTTAAGTTTGCCATGTCAGTTTTTTTGTGAACCAAAATCAATGCAAGTCAAAAGGCATTCAGGTTTCAAGCACACATTTATAGTAGTAGTTTGTTTTTGGGGCTACAGTATTCAGGGAAACAGAGGCTGTATTGTCTTTGTAAGATGCACAGTTCTGGCTCTGAATCCCTTCCATCCAGCTCTACCTGTCCTTCCAGATTCTAGCTTGCCAGAAATCTTTGCTTCCAGACTAATCTTGCTTTTATTTTTGTTTTACTTCAGCTCTAACCCTTTTGTTTGACTTCATCTCTACCAAATGAAATCTGCATTATTTATTGAAATGGACTTGATTTATTATGTTCTAGTTCTGTATCTGTGTGACTCTTGACCTACCCTTTCTTCATTACTCCATTTCTGGCCCTTCCAGAATGAGGAAAAACAACAGCATGGAATGTACCAAAAGAAGAGAAGCCCCCCCCCCCCAATCTTCTTTTTAACTCACAATCTACTGACATGCAGGGCATTTTGTAAAAGCATACAAAGATCCCTGGAAACAGAAACACTCATGAATTCATGTTCTGTCTCCCTCGTTCTTTCTCTCTAACAGACTCTTTCATAGCTACTGCATCCAAAGCATAGGGCACACTAGCAGCATTGCCAACTGGTATTTGAGGATCCATGATTGATGGCCTTACTTAAATTGTATTACAATTGGTAAGAACTTGCCAATGTGATTGGAGCAGCAATGACAGAATGAAAGGGAGTATAATGCAATGGTTTCCTAGTGGAAACACACACACTGCTGTTTGTCCTGATGGGAAATGGTACAGGTAACTACTGCGATGCAAACAGCAGTACATTTGCAAGGGCAAGCATGGGTCTCCTGTACAATGTGTAGATTGGTCCTTGGTATTATACTTAACCTCTCTATTCTCTGATTAGTTATCCCACAGATGTTCACATTACAAAATTCTGAGAGGAAAGGCACTTCTGTGACACTAATTCACATGAAATTCTAGTGTTCATTGTGATAATGAAACTATATGAAATATGAACATATAATAACCTGTTTGCATATTGATATCATGTTAATTCTTACACATGGCAGTTTTATTTATCAGTTTTATTGGCAATTGGGCCGCTGCTGTAAGCTGCCCTGAGCCCGTTCATGGGGAGGGCGGGGTATACATTGAATAAATAAATAAATAAATAAATAAATAAATAAATAAATAAATAAATAAATAAATAAATAAATAAATAAATAAATAAATAAATAAATAAATAAATAAATAAATAAATAAATAAATAAATAAATAAATAAATAAATAAATAAATAAATAAATAAATAAATAAATAAATAAATAAATAAATAAATAAATGCTTTTGTTACTGTTCCTCCAATCAGGCAGAAAACCAGGGGACACACCGTTCTTACTAATTTGGGAGTAAGACTAAAGTGTGTTTCCTACAGTAATTCACAAAACAAATGTGCCTCAGCTATCACAAGTTTTGGGAAACAGTGGTTTGAGTTTCTTTTAAACTGTTTCTATACAGATACATGATGCCATTTCTATAAGGTTTCTACAGCTGTATGGGCTTTGAATAAATGACTTATGTTATTGCTCTGGAAATGCCTATATTATGCACTTACTTGGAAGTAGGCTCTCCTGAACTCAGTGATACTTTTTTTTGAGTAAACATGTAAGAAATTACTGGAAGCCTGCAGCTGTTAACATTAGTCACTGTGCTTGTGAAAAACCCCCACACTGGTATGATACCAAAGGAACTACTTTCGCACCGATTAAGTATCCTTTATTGTAGCTCCTCACATCTCCAAACCTATTTCTAACTGTCCTTTGTACTTCTACCTTTCATTTCAGTGTACATTAGATTAAGGAATGGTCACAGAAAATGTGTGTGTTATGGTATGACACTATTATAAATAGAAATCTCTTCACTATAAATAAAAAAATTGTTAACTTACCTCTTTATTTCTGTATTCTTTTCTTAGTGACTTTTCTAAAACTTTAGCTTCATACTCAGCCCTTGGGTGATCCTGCAAATGTCATATACTCAAATGAGTCGTGAAACCCATTGTCTACCAGTACAAAGGTAGAAGAATAAAATATATATTAACTTTCTGCTCTGATTTGATTTAAACTTGCAATAAGTCATTAAAATGTGTTTCAAATGCCAGTCTGTCCTAATGCAGCTAAATGGCTAAAGCTATCATCCAATGCCCTTGTGCCAATTGTGATACCCCTGGTATTTTGCTAATGTAGTAGTTGCTGTCAGCATAACTATCCTACGGTTGCTGCTTCAGACTCCAACATAACATAGCAGCTGCATCACACTGTGTAGGGAGAAGGCAGGATCATGGCCACTACAATCAGAGTAGGTGGAACCCTGCAACATTTTAAACCCAAATGTTTTATTTTGGGCACTGCAGAGGCAGCTCATTTGTAAAGCTTTGTATGTGGGCTAATTTGAAAACAGAAAACACCAACCATAATTCTTGGGGACCCAATAAGTTAACCTCAGTTGAAATATCAAGTTTGTTGATATCTAAGACATTCCTCCTATAAACTACCCTGATCTGTTTTCTCAAAAGACTGCATTTCAGATTATCCAGACACACTCAAAAAAGATATGGAAAACAATAAGAAGTTGAAGGAACAGGACAGCCAAAGATTCGGAAAGTACCTTCAAAAATGCATTAGATGGACATGAGAATGGATATGAAAAAGTCCCATCACTGGGATACATAAAAGAAGAAACAATCATTGCAGTGGAAGCTCTAAAGGAAACCAGATGCCAGGAAAAAAGAATGAGGTGAGATCAAAAGGTATCTTTCACCATTAGACAGATAAAAAGGTAGAGAATTTACAAAAAAAAATCCAAACCTTGACTGCCTCCTTCAGGAAACCATAAAAAACACAAAAAACACAAAAAATTAAAGTTACTTCACTGTTGCAAAATTGTGCAATGGATACAACTATTTTATTCATGCACAGCTGTATCTTTGGGGGAATTGTCTGTTTTTGTATTTATATTGAGGATGTAATAAAACACCTTATCACAAAAAGATTCAGGGGAAAAAGATATGATTTTAAATATTTAAGCAGTATGAAGGCCCACAGCCATGACAAAATTAAGAAATGAGGCACATGGGATGTGATTCCCTATAGCACAACCCTCTGATATATACAAGACCTGAATGAGAAAGCCCGTGGTTATGTATTGGCACATACGTCACTCATTTCAGTGTAACTTGTACTGTAGCAGTTCCTTAGGATTTTCAGCCATGCTATTTACCTACTTCCAATGGTCAGCAGGATTTAATTGCATGTTTAAACACTTTACTCAGTGGACCAAATTAACTGGAGTGGAGCATGTTAGATGAAATATAAAATACACTCCATTAACAGCAGTTATCTCAGGTCACAAGCCGCTATCACTGCACTTGACATAACCCTCTAAGGTATTCGCCACTAGAAGGATACAGTTAATCCTCTTCACTTTCATGTAAGCTAACAACAAGGTGCCAAAAATAAAAGAACAGTTGTCTTAGCATATCTGATTGTAATCCAGTAAGTGAGACCTCAGCACTCAGGTTTATATTAGCACAATGGGATGTCAATGAGCACACAACAGGATCAGGGCCTTAGAAATTAGATGCTCCTGAAGTCTCTTCCAGATGACAGAAAACACCCCTTCTGTATCCTTGCCAGTTTAGCAAAATATTCCCAATTTTTCCAAAATATGGTGGGTGGAAAAGAGGAGTATGCTGTCTAGAGCTGGAGGAGCAGAATCCACAAAACCAATTTTTAAAAAGGAAACTCAGAATATATTTTTAAAATCACAAACTGTTAACAGTTGTGAAGTTTCTTAAAAGGAAAAGAAAAATTGCATGCAAGTGTTTTCTGCTGGAGTATTGTAGCAGGAAGGACTCGAGCTCTGAAGAATGCAGCGTCCCATCAAAATAAAACAATCATTTTAAAAAAGAAAATTTGGCATTATTCTTGATATACCATAATGATAAAAAACATGATAATGTGCAACCACATGCTTTGTTGAAAATGTTGGAATGTACACTAATAATAATAATAATAATAATAATAATAATAATAAAATAATAATAAAAGGGTAATAATGCAGCTGCACAATCACTGTCACTCTGCCATAACAATCTGTTCAATATAATTCCCAACATAGAAAATTAATTCAATTTTTCTACTGAAAAGCATGACCTATAGCTT